ATGGCATGTTCTGTGTCCCCGTATGTGACCACAGTGTGTTCCACCCCCATGTGTGACCATGGCATGTTCTGTGTCCCCGTATGTGACCACAGTGTTTTTCACTCCCATGTGTGACTACATGTGCTCTCCTTCACCATGTGGCTGTGGTGTGTGCCAGTGTTAACTGTGTGCTGAAGCTCTCACGGCTATGAATCGTTTGTGCCCTGTGGTTGTCTCCACGTGTTCTCATCTGTCTGTCAACACAGCGGCTGGTGCAGGCAGATGCCTGCGTGTCTGCACCACCACACGCCTGTTTCTCTGTGTGAACAGACGTGAGCTCTGCCTTCATCTCTAATGACGTTTTCTCGTCTTGCTTCCTGTACTGTCCTGCCGGCCCCCACAGTCCTCGCCAGTCGTGGAGGAAAAGGTAAACCTGGGCCCCTCCTCACAGGGCCTCTGAGTCTAGTTACCACGGCGGGGTGGCTGCTGGGCTTACACGTGTGCACAGGTGGCTCCCTTCCGCGCCCCCGGAGGTGATTGGATGTTGGATTCTGAGCCTGTAGCATTTGCCAGAGCTTTGTTTAGCCAGGCCTCTGACAGACCACCAAATTTAGTACCAGTACTGGAGTTCTTGGGGTTCCCCGGCCTGGATGCAGCATCCTGAGGACTGGGCCGGGGCAGTCTGGGGTCCAGGCCGTCATGGTGGCCTGACAGACCCTAACACATTGCTTCTGAGCATGTGACCAGAACTGGCATGTATGACCTCTTCACCATGGGGAGGGAGGGAGCCACAGGAATGAAACCAGAGAACTGGCACCCAGGGGACCACACACAGTCCAGGCCTCCAGGGCCTGCCATCTGCCCTCGAGGCTGGTGACCCACACACGAGCCTTCCCCTGTCCGGAGTCTGTGGAGTTACATTTGCTTGAAGTGTGTGTCAGCCAAGGTCGTGTGTACACATAGGAAGGTGGGCCCTAGGCCAGAGCCGGGTGCTACATGAGGGGACTGTGGGCACAGGGGGCCTGGGCTGGGCCATCTGCCCTGTGGCTTGGTGGGGCTGGCTGTACTCACCTTGCCAGCAGAACTGGCCGTTGTCGGCGTGGGCTGCTATGGGTACCCCAACTTCTGGAGAACAACAGGAAGACCTGGCCACATCAACGGATTTGAAACCTTCAAACTTTAATGTCTCTTCAAGTTTCTGGTCATATTCAACTCCTAAAAGTGCAGAACTGATTAGCAAGGGTGGAGGAAAGGCCAAATCTTTGTGCTTGACAGTGGCCCCACTGTAAACAGGCAGACGCTCTGGAGAACAGTCTGCAGGCCCACGAGATGGAACGCAGTCACAGTGTGGCTCAGCATTTCTGTTCCGGGTACACACCTGAGGTACTTGAAGGAGGAACTGAAACAGGTAAGGTGGAAAACTTTGGAAGCAAACCTAGTATCCATCACCGGATGAATCGAGAAGCACCAGGTGGTCTCTCCACACAATGGGCTATTGCCAAGTCCCTGGAGAAGGACATCATGCGAGATAAAGTAGACGGTCAGCAAAAAAGGGTCGACACCTCTGGGAGAGGGGCTGACACCGTGGCTGCAACAGTGGCTTCAAACATGGCAGCGACTGTGAGGACAGCACCGGACTGCCCAGGGGGTCACTGTGAGTCACAACCGACTCGACAGCACTAAACACCGTAACCAAGAGACATGCTGCGGCATAGATGGGCCTCAAAACACTGGCAGGAAAGAATAAAGGATACCTCTTGAAAGAAAGACCTGCAGGAAAAATGGAGGCAGATGGACTGTTACTACAAGAACAAACAAATCACTTCCCTAGAAAACATCAAGGCAAGTGGCCAGGCCCTCTCAGCGCAAACCCCCTTCCAAGACTAAGACTCAACGGAAATGCACGCTCTGATTGGTGACTACAAACGTCACCGATGGGGGGAAGGGGGTAAAAGCAGCAATGAAGCGGCAAGCTAAGCCCTACAATGATCAGTGGACTTCTGTGGACCCAGTTGGGGACCTGGTTGGCGAGCAGTGTGAAGAGGCCTGGGGACTCTTAGGCCCAGAGTCAGTGGCGTGGCCACGGAGGACTGGAGAGGAGAGTGGAGCTTCCGGCTGACAGGAAGAGAGGACATATGCACAGGAGCACCCACACTTGCAGATGATAACCACGTGACCTGGACTGGATGACTGGATGATCGGAGCTCAACCAGGAGGGGAAAGAAGGGGGGAGGGGGGGAGAAGAGTGAGCTGATACAGTCTGATGAACTTGACCTATACCTATGGAGCAGCGACTCAAAAGGGAACAAATCCTCACAGCAAGAAACATTCACACACTCTCACACACAGAGTGGACGGAGAAGGGCAGCTTGGACATTGGATACTCAAATGGGGAGGAGGGCACTACAAAGGCAAGAAGTGACTGGCTTACAAGCTTTCAAGAGGGAACCTGGTGCTAGGGAGCATGGCGGAAGGCAGAAGCTCCAGTAGGTACTATTTATTCAAACTGTCTGGGTGGAGCTGATGAAAGGAGATACAGATGGGTAACTCGTGATACTGTAGTGAATAATGCTTACCAGGACTGACTATGAGGGTTGGAAATGCCAAGGTAGAAGTTTTGTAACAAGGAAGGGAGTGATTGATTCTCCAGGATAGGAGCAGAGGCCTCTGGGACCATCAACGGAGAAGAGCCAAGAGCGGGACCCTACCCAGAGAAACAGAGATGCCTGAGATAGAGACAGAGATGGTGACGTGGAGTGATGAAGCAGCTGGGGACTTTGGACCCAGAGAGGGAAAGGGTCTGTGGGCTGAAAACTGGGGGGAGGAGGGGGAAATGAAGGGGGCGGGTTTCTGGGATATACCCTGTGGGTGGTTGATGATGCATGGACGGGATTGGAACCATGGCAATGAGATGACATAAGATGGAATGAATGTAAAACTAAAGTTCTCCCATGTAAACTATCATATAATTCACAATAAAACATTAAAAAAAACAAAACAAAAAACACTGGCAGGATAGCGGCGTGAAATAGGTCACCCTCATCGGAAATGTCTACAACAGGCAAATCCAACCAGAGAAAAGAGGATGTGTGGTTGCCAGGGGATGGAGAGAGGAAGAAGGGGACGTTACAAAGTTGCTATCAAGCTTTCTCACACATTTCATGGTATGTTATTAGTATCATTTGTCATCTTCATCTATCTTTAAAAGTAAAGTGCTGAGAAATGTCTGTGAGCAGGGTGACGAGTCATGCTGAGCACCTCAAGGAAGAACCCCCAATGACCCCTCACCGAGGACCCTCAGAGAAGACTCCACAGAGGCTCCCCTCACAGAAGGCCCTCCCAGAGGAAGCCACACACAGAGGACCCTTTCAGAACCTCATTCCACAGAGGCTCCCTTGCAGCCTCGTCTCCTGCCTGAGGGACACGCTGATTCCTGGGCACTGGCAGTGCTCCCTCGCCCACACACTGCCCTCTAGGTTCTGTCTGTGCTCAGTGCCTAAAGTGGCAGCAGCCCCAGGCTGGGACCCTCAAACTGCAGGAGGAATGACATCACAGCCTCCACCCCGCTCCATGAGCGGCCCACCACCCTCGCAGTTCAGCAACTTGTGAAGAGAGACCACTGGGGCCACATTCCATTGGCCAAGCCAGTCAGGGCAGCTGTAGGGCTAAATCCAAACGAGGGGGCTGGCTGGGGGTGACTGAGTGAGGCGTGTCACCTGCCCTCACCTCCCTCGCTGGCCAAGGTGAGCTCCCGTCTGGGCATCGGGAGAGGAGCATGCTGAGCAGAGCAGTGGTGTGTCTGTCCCTGCCGCCATCGAACGCTGGCTTTCTCTCTTCCCCACACCCCAGCAGGAAGGAGCGCCCCACCTCGCTGAACGTCTTTCCCCTGACCGACGGCATGGTACGTGCACAGATGGGGGGCAAGCTCACGCCTGCGGCGGACCACTGGCGCCTGAGTGACCGCAGCCAGCTGCCAGCCAGCTCCAGCTATCAGGTTTCGTAGGCGTGCTGTGGGCCAGGGGCTCCCCATCACCAGCTCCCCCTGCACGTCCTGGAGGGCCAGCTCCACACATGGCTTTGCCCAAGGAGGGAGAAGCTGGCTGACCCCCAGGGGTGGGGGCCATGGAACTGACGTCCCCGCATGGGGCACATCCCCTGCTGACCCACACTCAAGGTCCTCAGTCAGGGCGTGTGCTCTGAGTCCTGGGGAGCCCTTTCTTCTCTTGCCTGTCCTGCCTGCTCCATCTCTAAGCTTGAGGGGGTGAAACCTTGGACACCACTAAGGGTGACCACTGGTGGGCCAGGGCCAGGGAAGGGCAGTGCAGGGGGGCCCGGGGTCTGCTGAGTTCCCATGGTGGGGGGACAGCGCACACTGCCTGAAGCAGAGGCCTGGGGGATATGGGATCTGCAGGTTCTCCTGAAGCATCTGCTTGTCACCTCGGAGCATCTCGTTTGCTCAGAGAGGGTCACGTCAGCCTGAAACTTAGTCAGAAAACGACCCACACTCGTGCTGGCTCCGTGAGCACACAGATCTGTGGCTGTTCTGGTCGGTTCTGGTAAATGGTTCCAGTGTTCTGGACTAGGGCAGACGGTGGCAGGCCAGTGGAGCCGGTGCTCATGGGCTGGCTTGTCGTCGGAGACTGACACGCTCACGTGCACGGGTACTCACACACACTCGTGCATACAGGCCTGTAAGCAGGCCTATGCTGGAAACACGTGAAGAACCCACATGAGGCCTTTCCTGGGCACGGACCTGCCCTCCTCACACCCACCCGTACGAGTCTGCTCTTTTCCTCACCATTGCTTCTCCATCGCTCTCTCTCCGCCATCTTGTCCCGAACAGTTTTCTTCTTCCTAAGCCAGTGTTTTATGTTTTAGTTTATGTGTTTAATTTGAGTTGGTTTTTGTTTTGTTTTTTTAATAATTCAACATTTGTTTTTTATTTCATGCCCTAGTTTAAATTTTTTTCTAGTTTCTTAATTTCTTGTTGTTTATTGTTCCTTCAGTTTTGTTGTTTTTATGTACTGTATTTTCAGTGTTTTAACCAAACAATTTTGGCTACTCATGGTGAGGAATGACCGTTAAGAGTTTGGGTTCTTTGCACTTGGAGGTCACTGCTCCCCGTTGGTGTTGAGCAGGTTGAGAGGTTTGCCTGTAGGTAAGTTGTGGCCAGGGTGACGGTCCCTTGGGTAAGTGGTGGCCCTCCAGGAAAACAGCAGTAGGGGACCTTGGGGAGACACGTCACAACACAGAAGCCCCTGTGTGTGTGTCCGGAGTTGGATGTGGCCAGCCGGGAAGGTCTGGACGCCGTCTTTTCTGCAAGGTGTGGGCACCCCCAATGACTTACTTAGTGACTCCTTCATCTGGTCTCCATACCTTCCCTGTGGGACATGGGGGCCCCTTCAACATGGGGTCAGACAGAGGAAGTGTGGGTAACCTGGATGTGGGGGCCACTCAACTGGCTTGGCTTGGGTTGTTAGACACAAAGAGGAGGGAGGCAAACATTCGGGCTTAGTCCCTTCCCGGGAAATGAGCACTGAGCTTGGAGCAAGCCTCCTGCATCCAGCAGCGCTGTGGGCGTTCCACGGTGCGCCTGCCTCTCTGCACAGCGAATGTCAGCCGCTCCCTCCCAATTGTGGTAACCTGACTAAGTCACCTGGGGCTCAGTCATTGTGTCAGAGTGTTGCAGAGTCGGCTCTGGGTGTTGGGGTTCCTGGTGGGGAGGTCTTGTAGCCCATGAATAGGGCCCACCTTCTAAAGACTTGGCCCGTGTCTGCCTCTAGGGCATGTCTGCTTAGAACATGGTGCTGGCCACATGGGGGCAACCATAGGCCTGGGGGCTAGCACTGCCCCTGGGCACATCTGGACATGGCCTACTTTCCCAGTCTGCGTCCTCCTCCCCGTGAGGATGCCTACAAGTGTTTACTCAGCTTGGGGCAGCACTACTGCCCTCCTCCACCCTGCCTGCCCCAGATATGTGTCCCTCCTGTTGGGAAGTCTCCTGACGCGTGGTCACCGTGCAGCAGTGTGTCTTGGCCGTGGGCCTTCTGGGGAGGCTTCAGGTTGACACCAGGGAGGTGGGAGTAGGGACTAGGTCTTACACTGCCCAGGAGGCTCGATGGCTACCCGCGGTGACCAGCACTGATGAAGAGCCAGGAGCTGTCTGCATGATCTGGGAAGGGCTCCACAGTGTGTGTCTGGCTTCACCGTTAGTGACGGCTCAGGTGGTGCTGTTTTAGATAGCACCATGACCCTGCCCCCCAGAACACTTCAGTGACGCCCCCCCTTCCATGATTATACTTTCATGATGGTCAGGGTCCCCTGGTGTCTCCTCTGTATCCAACATGATGGCTGTGGAGGGCACCTGGCGAACATCCTGCACCTTCCTCCTGCATGTGGGATGGTGCCAGCCGAAAGCCACATTCCCACCCACTAGATCAGGTGGCAGCTGCTTCCAGGAAGTCTCCCCTTAGCCACTGGGGTGACCAGACCCCAGGATTGGCCAGGCGGACACCAGGGCCATTGCCCACCCCCTCCAGATGGGCTTGTGGGGGAGACACCGCAGTGTACCCCTTTATTCTTGTCCCAGTGTCCCAATGATGAGATGTCCGAGTCGGGTCAGTCCTCCGCAGCCGCCACGCCGAGCACCACTGGCACCAAGTCCAATACGCCCACGTCTTCCGTGCCCTCAGCCACGGTCACACCCCTCAATGAGAGCCTGCAACCCCTGGGGGACTACGGCGGTGGTACCAAGAGTGGCAAGCGGGCACGTGAGAAGCGCAACAGTCGCAACATGGAGGTGCAGGTCACACAGGAGATGCGCAACGTCAGCATAGGTGCGCAGCCGCGGCGCTCCTCCCACCCTCCTGCCACCTGTGCAGGGCGGGGACCTACCGAGACTGGGTGTCCTGTTAGGGCCACTCCACGCCCCTCTCCTGGTCGCATGTTTAGGATGACCCTCCCTCATCCTGGCAGGGGTCATTGCAGGGGTGACCCTGGTGGAGAGAAACCACCAGCGTCCCTGACCCTGGCTTTGGTGTGCCTCCAGGGATGGGCAGCAGTGATGAGTGGTCTGACGTCCAGGACATCATTGACTCCACCCCGGAACTGGACATGTGTCAGGAGCAGCGTCTGGACCGAACTGGCAACAGGTACATTTGACTCAGGGTCCCCGAGGGGGCAGGGTCCCCAGGAGGACAGTATCCCCAGGTGGAGAGGGTACCCGGGAGGAGAGAGTTCCTGGGTGGACAGGGTCCCCTGGTGGACAGGGTCCCTGGGTGGACAGGGTCCCCGGGTAGACAGGGTCCCTGGGAGGGCAAGGTCCCCAGCACCCATCCCACCACTCATAGTCATTGGGCAGTGAGCCTACTGCTCTGCTCACACCTGACACCTAGAGCAGTGCTGGCCTGCAGGGTGGTAGGCTCCCGGCTGAGAGAGTCTGGACACACCGTGGGCTCTGCCCTCTGACTGCCTCCTGCCCCCATGCATCCTTTCAACAGCCCCACTCAGGGCATTGTGAACAAGGCTTTCGGCATCAACACCGATTCCTTGTACCACGAGCTGTCAACTGCTGGGTCAGAGGTCATCGGCGATGTGGACGAGGGTGCTGACCTACTAGGTAAGAGCAAGGGTCCTCACCACCAACTCCAAGCACCACAGTCTCCCTGGAGTCTGACAGCAGCTTTCCCGAGATGTGTCCACATCCCTCAGGACCCACCGAGACAGGGCTATGACCCTCAGTGCTCACCAGGAAGTGTGCATGGCTGTCACTTCTGATTAATCCCACAATTCATCACTCCAAAAGAACCCCATACCACTAGTGGCCCCCATGCCCCCTGTCGCAGTCTGTGTTCTGGGCCGTGTTTGGGGGCGCTGTTTGCTGGCTCTTGGCTGTGCAGGGGAAATGCCCAGAGGGGGTCTGCATCCTGTTCTCCTGCTGGCCTTTGCCCCCTTCCTTCAGGGGTCCTCAGTGCCTTGGGGTCCTGCCTTGGGGTTATTTTGAGTCCCAGGGCCTTAGGGTGGCTCTTCCCACATCTGCAGGGCTGTGTGGCTACAGCTGTGTCTGTCCCCGTCTCCCCAGAGACTTGCTGCATGCTCACAGGGGGGAGGATAGGGCTTGGTTTCCGTCCTTCTCCTGCCACTGTTGTGCTCGTGGGACCCTGCCAGGAGAGCGGGGCCTCCAGGGGGCAGATGTGCTGTCATTACCTGCGGTGTTCCCCACCCATGCCACCTCCACTGAGAGTCAGATGAGAGGCAGAACAGATGCTCATGGAATATTTTCTCACACATAATATAAAACACACACACACATGCACGCACATACACACACGAGTAGAAATCAAGCAGAAGCTATTCACTGATGGGAGCGTTCACACTGAACTTTTTTAACATAGTTCCTTTCTCTCTGCTTTACGTAGTTGAGATTAAGGTAAATATATTTAGTTCTCAGGCATGTGTTTGCTTCTGGAAAATGACCTATGCAGCTATTTGAATTAGACTGGAAACGGCCAAGAAGAGAGGGAGAGCCAGGCTGCCCCCTCCCCCATTTGGTGACGAGCAATCAATGAAAGCACACAGTTCGGGGGCTCTAAGTATCTTCTCAGGCTTGCGCACCCCTCACCCACACCTCCAGTTTCAGAGTCTTCGTTGTCCCCAAAGAACCCCTTAGTGATTCCTTTGCATCTCTCCCAAACCCTCCGGCCCTGCAGCCAGGATCCTGCTTTTTGTCTATGCTTGTACCTGTTTTGGACTCGTCACAAAAGTGGGATCGTAGAGCACGAGGGGCTGCACAGAGCTTTCTCACAATGCAGGCACCTTCACTCAGTCTCCCAGGTGGTGACAGAGGGAATATCCTGGACAGGGCACATGGTGTCTTGTGGGTCCATGGGCCTCAGACGAAAAGTGTTCAGGATGCAGAGTGACCACGGTGGTTGTCACATGAGCACACCTGTAAGCAACCCAGCTCAGGCTGAGGTCAGCTGCCAACATGCTGTCCATCTCCTGAGAGCCTGGTCCAGAAGCTGTCCAGAGGTCAGAGTGAGTGTCACTGTGCACGCAGAGCCCCAGCAAGCTTACGGTCTAAGTGAAGTGAGACCCTCTTAGGAGCAGTGAACCTTCTGTGGAACGTGCTGAGGCCTGCAGTCCACCAGCTGCAGACACGTCCAGAGATGTACCGTGCCCTCTCTATACTCACCATGTCTTCCACGGACTGCTGCCCACTGGCATCCTGCCCTGCTGCAATGGGTGCCCACCCCAGTGCTGTTGGCTGTAACTGGGCCTGTCTGTAGTCTCGGTCTGATGACTGTTCTTTCAGGGGAGGCCCCGTAGGCTGAGAAACATGATGACCTCTGTGTAGGCGGTGAGGTGGTCAGCGTGGTCAGTAGCGGCTGCCTCTCTCAGCATTGTGACTGAGCTCCTGATGGCACATTTGTCAGTCTGTTCAGTCTAGAACAGATTCACCATTCTAGAAACGTCAGCACAAGAAAAAAACTGACAAATTCTGATGTTCCACTGATTGTAAGAACCTTGGCAATTTCAGAAACATTAAAATAAGAAAACATGCCATGCCTACTCCCCTGCGCTATCTCAGTGAGTCCCACCCAGCAACCTGTTCCCAGGCGAGTTTTCCACTCACCCGGGGAAACACAAGCTCTGGAAAGTCAGACAGCTTGCCTGGCAGCACTTAGTTTGAATGTGAAGTTTAAAGGCAGATTGATGAGATTTCAGAGCCAATTTCCCTGCTTTCCTGCCATACGCTGTGGTCCCACCCACGGTCATAACCAAAGCCGTGAGATGTCTAGTAACACAGAGAAACAGCACAGAAAAAGAGAATTAAAGGCAAAAAAGAAGCCGTAAACAGAGAACGTAGCACATTCCTAGATGCAACTGAACTCAGAGGCTGCGCAAAGCAGTCCTTTCGTTCAGAACCAATAAAAATGCGCGTAAGCATTTTGCGGGGAACTTGATGAATGGATTCTAGAGGTCGTCCAGAAGACAGTATGTGAAACTAGCCCCAAAATCTTTGGAGAAGAACAAGACTGCAAGATCACCATCCCAGCTACCGAGCCATGAAGTTACAAGAACGGAGCCTGCTTGGGGGAGAGATCTTTCATCGTGTGAACTCAGCAGTGGATGTTGAGAAGCAGAGCTGGACACGTGGGATTTGAGCCCAGGATGAGTGTGGGGTTTCCAGTGAGTGGGTTGCTCTCTGTATGACTAAAGTCATGAAGAAAGAAGCTCAGCATCGCTCCATGGACTGGAAAGGAAAATGTACCCATTGCCTGTTGGCCATCAGCCAAGGACAACCCTCCCAGTGACCCAATCCAAAACTGGGCATGCAGATGGGCCAGTTTGGGAGCGAGAAGGTAAGGCGAGCATACAGAGATGCTCTCGCCGCCTTCACCCCAAACAGCTAGACTAGAATTGAGAACTAAGACCGCTCTTCCTGAACAGACAGGACCCAGGCATTCTGTACCCCCAAGGATGGGGGAGTCCAGGAGACCACCTGTTCCCAAACAATGTGTTTGTGACTCTAGGCCGAGATGTCCCTTAAAGGAGTGAGTGGGGCTGAGCTGAAAATACAAAGGCTACTTCACTATGGAAAGCGCCAGGTGCTGCTCCATTCACTGGAACAAAGCTTCCCACTTAGCGCTCAGAAATCACCACCCGTCTAGCAAAAGGTCCGAGAGGAGAAGACAGACCATGTCGCCAGCGGTCACCTTAGCGGATTGCAGAGAAGGGGCACCCACTTTTCCATCTGTCCACTTCTTGACTGTTAAAATGTTTATGGCCAAGGCTGCATTTTGTAACTGGGCTTTCTGTGTGCAGTGGGCCACATCCGCCTTGCGGGAGAAAGTTGTGATCTGAGTAGGGACTGCAGAGCCCAGCCACACGCCCTGCTTTCCTCCCTGCCCCTTGGAGCCTGTCTTCTGGGCTATCCATTAAGGCCTGGGACCGAGCAAGCTCAGCTCACCCCTTGGGGCTGTGGTCATGAGGAGAGTGACCAACAGTCCCTCCAGGTCACCCTGGCTCCTGTAGGCTAGAGACTATTAGGGCACTCTGCTGAGTGCACAGAGTATCCACATACATGAACCACACTCATATGTACACATACCACACACATGCACAGAGTACACACATACATGAACCACACATATGTACACATTATCACACACATACACATACCACTAGGACGTAAGTACACACCACACACATGCACACTTTTCCTAGACCTGAGCGGGAACCCTGGGGGCTACAGAAACCCAGACCTGCTGGCTTCCGGCCGCTGCTGGAATTGAGGGGGTGGACAGGCTAGTTTCCTGGCAAAACCAGAACCAACCAGAAGCACTGGCCTTGGGGACCCACATGTGACTGTTGCCTGGCGGTGTCATCCAGCTAAGCCGTGTGCTATCTTTACTGAGCCCCTCTTGGTTCCGGTCCACTGACTGTCCGCTTCCTTCCCTGTCTGCGCTTCGCTGGACTCGGCCCAGGGGAGTTCTCAGGTGTGTATCTCCCGTCCACCCTCCCTACTCGTGGCCCAGGTGGGGGGGGTCACACATGGGACACTCCCCTGCTGGCTGTGTAGCCCCTCCCAACTCTGCCCCCCCACCCCCACCCCAGCTCCTGCGCTGCAAGTTCCTGCTGACCTGCACCCCCTTCCCCCACCCGAGAGGTACCACTAAGTCTGGGGCCACTTGCTGCTGGCCCCTCCTCCAAGCCAGAGTGCAGCCAGCCGACTAGACTGGGGCTGGTGGCCCTCTCTACCTGCCCCTGGGGTTCCCCATTAACCTAGAGGGTTCTCCCTCTGCACAGCTCAGCACACATCTCCCCACATGGACAAACAGATAGGGCCTGGCCATCCAGCCATGTGTGACCACAGCTCTTCAATGACCCCCTAACCTCAGGCCCAGTTTCCAGGCATCCTCATCCTCATCCTGGACCCTTGGGCTTTTCTGAAAGGCGTGGCCTGCCCAGTCCTGTCTCCTCTCTCATTTCACCCCAAAAGACTTCCCCCGGCTGTTGAACTCGGGCTTAATGCGCTTGTGTTTTCTCCCTCCCTCTCTCCCTCTCTCCCCCTCCGCCCCCGTTTGCCCGCCTCCCGTGGCATTGGGACGGCTCTCAGTGCGCGATGATTTTTTTGGTAAGGCCAAGGCTGCATTTCCACGTGTGCCCCCCGCCCCCCACACCTCCTGTCAAAGCTTCATGTGCTGTTTGCTCTGTGCTGCATGATGGTGAAGGCGGGGGTGGGCTGCGGGGTAGTCAGCTTGGCAGCCACCTCTCTCCACCCACAGGACCTGGGTGGGGTGTGAGGTGTTCCCGGGCAGGAGGCAGCCCCCACCCCTCCGAGGCTCCGTGAGCCTGCCTGAGGAGCCCCACAGGGGAGGGGGACAGGACCATGTGGAGGGCTGGATGGGACCATACCTGAGATGTGCACATGTGGGGGGCGATGAGGGAGATGACTAGGGGCACAGCTGTGGGCTCTCGGGCCGACTCTCCCAGGCTGGACAGGGGAGGACACAGTATGGGGACTCTGTGGGCTGTGAATTCCACCTGAAGCCCACTGCACCTCCTGCTGACCTGCGGCCATGGGCCCATTCCTTCACCTGGATGGAGCTTCCCTGATTGGGCCTGTCTCAGTCTCCCATCAGCACGAATCTACAGAGGACGCTGGAAGTGGGACGAGGCAGAGCAGGGGTGATGTTCAGGGCTAGGAAGCATCGTACAGTAGAGAGGGCACCTCCCCAGCTGAGGAACCCCAGAGAGCTGCCAGCTTTCGCCGTGAGACCCCGCTCGCAGAGCTGTCTGCGGCCTCTCAGATGCACACCTTCTGTTCCAGGGATGGGCAAGGAGGTGGGCCACCTGCTGCTGGAGAACTCACAGCTGCTGGAGACCAAGTGAGTCCATGGGCCCGGCCCTGCTGCCCTCCTGGGGGTGGCGGCGGCTGCAGGGACCGCCTTAGGAAGCTGCTCTATGGCCCCTCACTGTGAGAAGCCATCACCAGGACCATCCTGGTGACTGACCCTCGGTTCCTCTGTGCCAAAGGAATGCTTTGAACGTGGTCAAGAATGACCTCATCGCTCGGGTGGACCAGCTGTCAGGGGAGCAGGAGGTGCTGAAGGGGGAGCTGGAGACCGCCAGGCTGGCCAAGAGCAAGCTGGAGACCAGGGTCCGCGAGCTGGAGGAGGAGCTACGGAGGTGGCTGGGCCCTGTCCCACTGTAGTCCCCCCATATCAGCCCCAGCCTCCTCAGATACTGCTCCCTGATTTGTGTCCCTATCTCTCTCTGGACCCTCAATTCTCAGCGTCCCTGTCGGAGGATGGGCTGCCCCTGGGCTCTTCAAGTCAGCCCAGCTTTCTTGGCCTGAGTGGGTGGTGGTAGGAACCAGCCTTCTCCTGAGTCTGACCCCTTTTCCCATCTACAGAGTGAAGTCAGAAGCCATCACTTCCCGACGTGAACCCAAGGAGGAGGCAGAGGACGTGAGCAGCTGCCTCTGTACAGAACTGGTACATCTAACATCTGTTGACGGGTGGGCAGGGGGCACCTCTACACACACACACACACACACACACACACCCGGCTCCTAAGGGGCAGAGCAGTGGTTCCCACTCCCACTCCATCTTCACTATCATCTCCCAGCCTCAGACCTCAGATGGACCTACTGGGGGAGCCCCCAGCCCCCTGGCCCTCTGGGTCTGTGATGGGAGATGACTTTCCGTGCGCCATTTTCAGACCCTGAGTAGGGAGGGCAGGTGCTGCCTGGGGTGGTGGGGAGGCTGAAGGAGGTGTCAGAGCTGGGCAGGTAGGGACACAGAAATGGGGGGCCCACACAGACATTCAGGAGAGGAAGCAGGCTAGGAGCTCACCTGGGCTCCCCACCCCATAGAATCTGTGTGGCTGACATTTGGGTCTTGGCCTCCCTGCCGCAGAGGTGGTTGATGGTGGATGGCCCCGACCACTCCTCTCAGTACCCTTGCCAGCTGTCACCAGCAGCCTTGCATGGTCCAGGGGCCTGCAGGCATTATCCTGGCCCCCTCCCCACGCAGGACAACATACCCATGGCCCAGCGCCGCCGCTTTACAAGGGTGGAGATGGCCCGAGTGCTGATGGAGCGGAACCAGTACAAAGAACGGCTGATGGAGCTGCAGGAAGCTGTGCGGTGGACAGAGATGATCCGGTGAGCAGCTGCCCTGCGTTCCTGTGGGAAGCCTGTGTGGAGGCTGTCATGGGGACCTTGTTGAGTCTTTGTCCCCGGACCCCTTCTGTGCAGAGCTTCTCGGGAGCACCCGTCGGTTCAGGAAAAGAAGAAGTCCACCATCTGGCAGTTGTGAGTGGAGGAGTGTCGATGACAGGGTGGGGGGGTGAGTTTGTGGGGGCTGGCCTCACTCTCCGTGCTCCCGGCTCCTGCAGCTTCAGCCGGCTCTTCAGCTCCTCCTCCAGCCCACCGCCCGCCAAACGCGCTTACCCCTCAGTGAACATCCACTACAAGTCGCCCACCACAGCCGGCTTCAGCCAGCGCCGCGGCCACACCCTGTGTCAGATCTCCGCCGGCAGCCGGCCGCTGGAGTTCTTCCCCGACGAGTGAGTGCTGCCCGCTGAGCCCTCCTTAGCCCTCCAGAGTCACCTTGGGCTTTCTGAATGTGGGCCTCAGGCCGGGGCTGGGGGTCCTCAGAGGAGGGGCTGGAACAGGACACCTGGTGGCGGGGGCACAGGGTCTGAGGACCACGTCTGAGACCACCTTGCCCCTCCTGCTCAGCGACTGTACGTCGTCGGCGCGCAGGGAGCAGAAGCGAGAACAGTACCGCCAAGTGCGTGAGCATGTGCGCAATGATGATGGGCGGCTGCAGGCCTGCGGCTGGAGCTTACCTGCCAAGTACAAGCAGGTGAGGGGCAGGGGCGGGGCCTACCTGCCAAGTCCTTGCAGGTGAGGGGCGGGGGCGGGGCCTGCCAGCCAAGTATAAGCAGGTGAGAACGAGGCGAGAGTTAGGTGGGACTCAGGACCTCTTTGGGCCCCAGTCATCGGCCCAGTAGCCACAGTACCCTGCCTTGTTACAGCTGAGCCCCAATGGGGGTCAGGAGGACACTCGCATGAAGAACGTGCCGGTGCCGGTGTACTGCCGCCCCCTGGTGGAGAAGGACCCCACCATGAAGGTGAGCCTAAGGCAGCCCCTTAGCCTGGCAGGGACCTCGGAAGCAGAGTCTTGACTGTATCCCGGAGTGTCCAGCCCGCACCCGTAGCCTTGTCGGGGTACTGTGTGTCGGCACCTGGGGGAGCGGGCAGGCCCTCTGGAGCTGACCCCTGTCCTCGCAGCTGTGGTGCGCCGCAGGCGTCAACCTGAGTGGTTGGAGGCCTAGCGAGGAGGAGCCTGGTAATGGAAGCAAGCCAGTGCCGGGCCGAGACCCCCTGACCTGTGACCGTGAGCTGGAAGGGGAAGCCTCTAGCAACCACACATCTCCGGAGAAGAAGAAGGTTAGAGTTACACGAGGCAAAGAGGGAGTACGCACACAGAAAGAGCTGGGGGTGATGTGTGGGGTCCTGGCTGTCCTAGCTGGGGCACAGTTGTGTCAGGGCTGTGCAGCCTTCCTCGTACCCACAGGCCAAGGAACTGCACGAGATGGACGCCACCTCCAGCCGTGTCTGGATCCTGACCAGCACGCTGACCACCAGCAAGGTGGTGATCATCGATGCCAACCAGCCGGGCACTGTGGTGGACCAGTTCACCGTCTGCAATGCCCACGTCCTCTGCATCTCCAGCATTCCTGGTGAGCTGCGGTGTCTGCCTTCCCTGCTCTCCATGGAAGGAGCAGGTGCTGGGGGGAGGCAGCTGTCTTGAGAGAGGCCCTCTGGCAACCTCGTTCTGTGGACAGTCAGGTGAAGGCCCCGGTTTGCCCACCTGGTAAGAAGGTCACTGGTGAGCTGTAGACGGGGGCAGCCAGTCCAGACAGGAAGTGTCTGCATGGCTTGTGGGCAAGAGCTGATGGCGTGGTCTCCCCCAATCTCAGCGGCCAGTGACAGCGACTATCCACCTGGGGAGATCTTCCTGGACGGGGATGTGAACCCTGAGGAACCCGGTGCCGACGGGGTGCTGGCTGGCATCACACTGGTGGGCTGTGCCACCCGCTGCAACGTGCCCCGCAGCAACTGCTCCTCCCGAGGGGACACCCCAGTGCTGGACAAGGGGCAGGGTGAGTCCCAGCATCCAGTGACCCCACCCCCCCCAGCCCATTTCCAGTAGATGCTCACCCACCCCTCCCTTCCGCAGGGGAAGTGGCTGCTGTTGGTAATGGGAAGGTCAACCCGGCTCCGTCCACAGAGGAGGCCACGGAGGCTACCGAGGTTCCTGAGCCCGGGCCCAGTGAGCAGGAGGCGGCCACAGTACGACCTGGGCCCCTCACGGAGCACGTCTTCACTGACCCAGCCCCCACGCCGCCCCCCAGTTCTCGGCCTGGCAGGTGGGCTGTACGAGAGGGATTGGCCATGTGACTGCACATGGTGGTGGGCTGGAACAGGGAGAAGCAGGCCTCTGGGCCTTCCTGAAACTGACTCCTCCTTGCAGCGAGAATGAGCAAGAAGCCGAAGCCACTGGAGCCCAACCAGAGCCAGAGCCCAGTGCGGACCCCGCAGGGACCAGCAACAGTGCCGCTCCCACAATGTGGCTGGGAGCCCAGAATGGCTGGTAAGGGTGTGCTGTGGGGTCTGTGGGGTGGCTTTGGGGGGTGGGCGGTGGCTTAGGCCTGCCCTAAGCAGCCTCGCTCCTCCTCTTCCAGGCTCTATGTGCACTCGGCTGTGGCCCACTGGAAGAAGTGCTTACATTCCATCAAGCTGAAGGATTCCGTCCTAAGCCTGGTGTATGTCTTGCTCCAAGGCGGGTGGGAGGCCCGGGTCACCACACCAGGCCACCCACCTGCCCCTAAGCCTTGCTGTGTTCTGTTCCAGGCATGTGAAAGGACGTGTGCTAGTGGCCCTGGCTGATGGGACCCTGGCCGTGTTCCACCGAGGAGAAGGTGAGGCCTGGTCTTGGGGGTGGGGCTGTTCCCCTGGGAGCTGGGCCTGAGCCGTGTGTTTCTGGCTGCCAGATGGCCAGTGGGACCTGAGCAACTATCACCTGCTGGACCTGGGCCACCCACACCACTCCATCCGCTGTATGGCTGTTGTGCACGACCGTGTGTGGTGTGGGTACAAGAACAAAGTGCACGTCATCCAGCCCAAATCCATGCAGATCGAGGTGAGTGCTGGGCACTGGGGGTGGGGAGTGGACAGAAAGTGGCAGGGCAGGCTGGTGGGAACCAGCAGGTACAGGTATGCTTGGGCGAACTGCTCTCTTGCCAGGCTCCCTGAGGGCAGGTGGACCGCAGGCTCAGATGGTCCACCCTGTGGACTTGGGAGCTTTGTGAGGGGACTGAGTGAGGGCCCAAGCTCTGAAGTGGTGTCAGGTCTGAGTCTGGGGTTGGGAGAGCTGTGTTCAGTGCCAGGGCCCTGCCCCACCCCACTGATGGCTGCTGCTGACACCCCACAGAAGTCGTTTGACGCCCACCCTCGAAGGGAAAGTCAGGTGCGGCAGCTGGCGTGGATCGGCGATGGGGTGTGGGTGTCCATCCGCCTGGATTCCACCCTGCGACTGTACCATGCCCACACCCATCAGCACCTGCAGGATGTGGACATCGAGCCTTATGTCAGCAAGATGCTGGGTGAGGTGGAGAGGGTGACCCACAGAAAGAGAGGGATGTGGAACAGGAGCCACCCTGCTGACCCCTCACTGCCCCTCCCCTTAGGCACAGGCAAGCTGGGCTTCTCCTTCGTGCGCATCACAGCCCTGCTCATTGCAGGCAACCGGCTCTGGGTGGGCACCGGCAACGGTGTGGTCATCTCCATCCCGCTGACTGAGAGTGAGTGCTCGGGACCCCTGGAAGGCTGCAGGCCTTTGAGCCGTGGGTGGGTGGGCTCCCAGGGGATGGATGCAGACAGCATGCCTGGTCCTCCACTCCTTGTCTCTTTCCCTCCCAGCTGTGGTCCTGCACCGAGGCCAGCTCCTGGGGCTCCGAGGTGAGACCAGATGCTACCCCACCCGTGTGGGAGGGGGGCTTGCATCAGCCGGGGTTGGGGGGTGTGGGAGGCTCTGCTAATTGTGGTCCTCCCAACCGGCAGTCAGCTCTTGTGGGTCTCTGTCTGCAGCCAATAAGACGTCACCCACATCTGGGGAGGGTGCCCGCCCAGGGGGTGTCATCCATGTGTACGGCGATGACAGCAGCGACAGGGCGGCCAGCAGTTTCATCCCCTACTGCTCCATGGCGCAGGCCCAGCTCTGCTTCCACGGGCACCGGGATGCCGTCAAGTTCTTTGTCTCCGTGCCAGGTGAGGGGGCTTTGAAACCCCTGTCCGAAGGGCATGGGATGGCTCAGCCTTGCTGAGGCTCCTCTGCCCCACGACAGGGAATGTGTTGGCCACCCTCAATGGCAGCGTGCTCGACAGCCCCTCTGAGAGTCCCGGAGCCCCTGCCACTGGCCCAGATGCTGCCGACGGCCAGAAGCTGAAGAACGTTCTGGTGTTGAGTGGAGGGGAAGGCTACATCGACTTCCGCATCGGTGAGTGAGGAGGTGCTGCTGCATGGAGTGGGCTGCTCAGAAGGGGGCCCCCTTACATCTGTCTCTCTGCAGGTGATGGCGAGGATGATGAGACTGAGGAAGGCGGAGGGGACTCGGGCCAGGTGAAGCCCGTGCTGTCCAAGGCGGAGCGCAGCCACATCATTGTGTGGCAGGTCACGTACACCCCGGAGTGAGCGGCCGCCACCACCTGTATATATGCCTGCAGGCCACCAAGGCCGCCCCCCCTCTCAACTGCAGCTTTCACCTTAGGTATGGGCTCCTGGGCAGCCAGCCTGGGGGGCATGGAGTAGGCCAGTTAAAGGGGCCGCAAGGGTGCCCCTTCCTCAACCCTCAAGCCCCAGGGCAGCGCAGGGCCGGGGTTCTAGGTTGGCCCTACGTAAGTCCCTACAAGTAGCACAGCTGTGCTCCTGCCCCTCCCCAGGCATTCCCCAGGGCTGCAGCCATTTGCCTTTGGTCCCTATCTCCTGCTGCCGGCCAGGGTGGGGCAACAGCTGCCACAGACCCTCCAGCTCCCAGGAAGCTATGGGTGCACCCTAGCTAGTGTCCCCAGGGCGTCCCCACCCCTCACAGTCTCACCTCTGCTTCCTGCTGCCCAAGCACGTGACCCAGTGTATCTCCCCCAGCAGGAGTGTACCCCCCCTTCTTGAGGGTTCAGGGTCCTGCAGTCCTGCCCCTCCTGAGCCCCCAGGGTGGGACCGCCCAGGCCTCAGGAAAAAGGAGAGGGACCAGTGCAGGACTGCGGCCAGCCTCAGGTTGATGGTCTGCCTTGCGGAGCATGGGCCCCAGAGTCCAGCTCGACATGTGACTAAGTGCCTAGGGTTGGCCGTGCAGAGGGCTCAGGACAAGGGTCACCCAGCTGGACTCAGTTCCCAGGGGAACTGCTCTGGGCCGTCTCTCCATGGACCGGCTTGCTTGCTGCCCCCCAGGCCCAGGCCCCACTCATCCCTTGTACAAGGCACTGAATCGATGTGCCCGTCCTCCCCACTCCCCAGCCAGCTGGCCACCACGGCAGCCATGGGCTGCTGTGGGCCTCTCCCCACCACCCGCCACCTCTCCACTGTGACCTCTGTCAAGTCCCATGTCTGTCCCCAAAGAATTGTGAAGTGACAGGGTGACCGCACCGCAATTCTGCCTAGGCCTTGGCCTTGCAAGTGACCCCATAGCCCCATTCTGTGTGTAATAAACGTCTCCACACGTCTGTTTGTCCCAGTGTCAAGCCTGCATGCCACAGGTTTGCTGTCACTTTATTGCAGTGGGAAATGGCTGGACCATGTCTGGTGCCCAGAAGTCAGGGAGGGCTTCAATTCCAAGAGCAGTGTGTTGGGCGGGGCAAGGTCCTGACCTGTCTGAACGGTTCAGGGGGCAGGGATGCCCATGAGGTACCTGGCCTCCTTTGAGATAGGGTGGGACCTAGCATTCTACGCCATTTCGCCTACTTTGTGATCTGGAGCGATTTCCACTGCACAGGCCCTAATGGGTCCGCGTCGGCCAATCGCGCCGCCTCGTTACTCATACAACCAGTGGGCGGCGCTGTCCTCCCAGCCCAGCAGCTCATGGGCGTGGAACCACTGGGCAATCTCGCGGTGCGCGCTCTTCACTGAGTCGCTGCCGTGAATCACGTTCCTGCGGGGCAGAAGGGCAGTGAATGCTGGTCCTGGTGTCACTTCACAGGCAGGGCCGAGAGCCGGCTGAGGCAGGGTGTTGGGGGCTTACTTGCCGATCTCGACGCAGAAGTCCCCGCGGATGGTGCCAGGCGCGGCGTCCGCTGGGTCGGTGTCCCCGATGATCGCCCGTGAGGCGTGCACCACGTCCAGCCCTTGCCACACCTGCGGGAAGCTGGGGGTCAGCGCCGGTGCAGGTTCCGAGGCGCTCCCCGCCCCCTCGCACTCACCATGGCTACCACGGGCCCCGAGGCCATGTAGCGCACCAGGCGCTCGTAGAAGGGCCGCGCGCGCAGCTCGGCATAGTGTTCGCGCAGCAGCTCCTCGGAAGCCTGCAGGAATCAGGACTCGGTCAGCCGCTGGCTCGACGACCCCAGGGCTGCGGCGGGCGCCCCCGGCCTGCCCTCACCTGCACCAGCTTCAGCGCCACCAGCTTGAAACCCTTCCTCTCAAAGCGCCGCACGATCTCGCCCACCAGCCGCCGTTGCACGCCGTCCGGCTTCACAGCCACGAAGGTGCGCTCGTGCACGCCGATGTAGCCTGAGGACCGGGCGTCAGCCTGTGGGGACGCGCCCGGGACCGCACTCCCGTCCGGCCCAGTATCCGCCCCCAGCCCCGGGCTTCCTAGCCCCCAACTGGTCCCTGGATGCCCCGGGCCCCCGCCACTCACTCGCCGGGAAGAGGTTGGCGAAGATGGTCAGGACCAGGCAGATCATGATGGCGACAGCAGAGCCGAGGACCAAGGGGGAGGAGGGGGCGGGGCGGGGCGGGGGCGGTGCCTGGGCTTAAAGGGGCCGCGGACTGAAGCGAGTCCTGTGGAGCCAGCTCGGGGAGCCCTCCCTGCACCACGCATGCGACAGCTTAGATCTCCGCAGCCACCAGGCCCTGTGGCCCGCGTCCCAGACCCCCGCCATACAGCGCGGTTGTCCTACTGCAGAAGCGGCCTTTTCTTTCCCCACAGTCCTGCTTATAAGAGGCCTGTGGCCCTGAAACCGCACAGTCCGAGAAACCACAACACAGCCGACTTCAATGGCCTTTATTCACGTTCAGAGCCTGGGTCTGAACAGGGGACGGGAAGCAAGGAAGGAAGCTCACACCGTGGGTGGGGTGGGGCGGTTCTCACCCAGCAGCGCCCTGCTGGCCTCAGAGCTGAGTGTTGGGAAGTCCAGAGACAGGAGAATGGAGGGGCAGGATCCTAAAGCCCACCCCCTGGTCGGACAGTCAAGCATGCCCAGTGTGAGCTCGGAGGCGTCTTCCTTCCTCCGGGGGATTGGAGCCCCGGGGCAGCACTTTAGACTCGGGTGCCTTTGGCCTTGCCCTTTCCCTCCTGTTGGTCAGGGTAGTCCCAGGGGCTGATGCGGACCCGCTCTAGATTGAGCAGGGGTTCCTCCGTGCTCGAATCACCGCTCTTCTGCCGCTCGGCCAGGATCATGGCCCTGAGGAGGGGTGGGTAGGGCACAGAGCGAGGGGGCTCCTTGCTGCCAGGGGTGAAGGCAGTGAAAGCCGCCTCCTCATGCTTGGGCACAAGCCGCCAGTCGTGGTACATGACCTGCTCGATCTCGCGGGCCTCGCTTTCGGTCTGGCCTGGGGAAAGAGGGACAATGCTCCTCGCATCTTCTCAGCCTGCGCCTGCAGCCCTCGGCCGCCATCCAAGTCGTCCCCCAAGTCTTACCTTTGAAGGTCAGGACGCCCCAGGCTTTCCCGTGGTCCAAGTTCTGAAAAGCAGGGGGAAAGCTCGTCACCATCTTCTTCCAAAAGGTTGGGGAAGGGGAGCGCTCGTCCCAGAATCGGACGGAAAAAGGCAGGCAGGGGTGCCTAACAGGATCGGACTAGGGAGAGCGCGCACACGCACCTGCGCCGTGTAGTCGGGCCGGACACGCGTGAGGCGCCAGTAGCAGGGTTCGTCGTGCTGCCACAGCCAAGACTTGCGCGTAACCAGGCGGCCGAGGCCGAAGAGCGGCAGGCGGCAGAGCAGTTGCAGGAGGCGACTCTCACGGCGCACGTCGGCCCAGGCGCGCTGGGGCAACCGGCGGCCCGACAGCGGCCGCGTCAGCGTCTCGTAGTCCAGGGCATAACGCTGCGAGTCGCGTGGTCGATCCCGCTGTTCGCGCAGAGCCCGCACTCGCCGGGCCAGCTCGGCGATCAGCCGCGGCCGAACTTTCTTCCGCGCCATGGTCAGCCCGCACCCGCGGTCCGCTCTCTCAGAGATCCGGCCGGAAACCGCCGTCACCTCGCATCGTGAGGCCCGGACGCCACCCGGAAGCAGCCCTGCGTGCCCTAAGCAAAGGTGTCCGGGCGCGGCGGAAGCGGAGGCGCCGTGGAACCTACCATGGCGAGGGCTGGAGCGGGCGGGGCTGCGGGGCTGCAGCGCAGGAGCCGGGGCAGAAGTCAGCGCCGAGCCCCGACATGGGAGATCTCTGACTCGGACACCGAGGGCCCCGCGGTCTCGGAAGCCGCCGCCAGGGCCCGGGATCCGGTGGAGGAGCGCAGGACGGCGGCCCAGGTGCTGCGGCCCGAGCGCTCTCCGAAGCGCCTGGTGGTTCGCCTGGACCCAGGTGCGCGGGGAGCACCGATCGTTGTGCGTGGAGTTTGACGCAGGGACTCCCCTTTAGCTCCTACAGGGGCCCTAGTGGTGCCATAGTTTAAGCATTGGAATGCTGACCGAAAGGTCAGACGTTCAAACCCAGCAGCCGCTCTGCAGAAGATGAGGTAGTCTGTTCCCACGGCGACGATAGCCTCTGAAACCCCCGGGGCCAGTTCTACTCTGTCCTACCGGATCGCTCTGACTCGGAATTTACTGGCAGACAATGGGTTTGATTTAGACTTTAGCTTCCCAGAGTGTTAGTCACAGCTCGACCAAGTTGGTCAGAAGGGCGCCTCCAGCCCCCAGCTTGGTCCACCTTTCCAACTGCAGCGCTAGCAGCTGTGGGTCCAGCTCTCCACGGAGAGCAGGGACTGAGTGACGACTCTCTCCCTTCTCCACCGTCCCAGCCATCCTGGAAGATGCTGGTGCTGACGTCCTGCTTCAGGCCCTGGACGCCCTGGGCTGTGAGCAGCACATCGAGCCCCAGCCCCTCCCTCGGAGCATCAGCTGGAGTCCCATAAACCCGGACCCTTTCCACTGTGGCGTGAGTGCAGAGGGTTAATGCCGCCAGAGCATTGTTGCATGCTCAAAGCTGCCCAGGAAAGTAGCGGCTAAGATTTTATCTAGAATGGGTGTCTAAGTGGGTGGTGTCTAGTGGCTCAGCTATTGCAGAGCAAGGCTGGGGTGCAGGCCAAGCATTTGGCTCCAGGAACGTTTCAGCCTCTTGCAGGCTACCTGCTGGTGGACCAGAGACCTGAGTTTGCTTTGGCCTATGCTGGGCCTTGTCCTGAACTGTACGGCTCCTGAATGTCCCCACAGGTCCCCGCTGAGGTGTGGGCTGAGCAGGAGCTGCTACTGTTGTTGGAACCAGAGGAGTTTCTGCAAGGTGTTGCCCAGTTAACCCAGGTACTCCCCAGGCCGCACCAATCCTGGACACCCTCCTTGTCGCCCACTGGTTTCTCAGTCGGGGCAGGAGCTGGACTAAAGAGGGTCCTCGTATAGCAGGGGTCAGGAGCCCAGTGTCACCTGGGTTTGGAGTCACCGGGGGGTGGGGGTGGCTGTGGGATCACCTCGAGGCCCTTTCAATGCCCCACCCCGTGTGGTGTGGAACACGTGGGTCTGCCTGCAGTCTGCTGAGGTCCTGCCTTTCTGGCCTGCAGGTGTCGGGCCCGGCCTGCTCCATGCCCTGGCTTTGTCCTGAGAGCCCTGGCTGCACACATCTGGCCGTCATCGGACTGGATGCACATCTGTGGTACGAACCCAAACCCCTCCCAGGGGCTGGCCAGGAGGGAGTCCCCGCTCCCCTGGTTGGGTTCAAGGAGGGCGAAGCTGATGGATGTGGGAGCCAAGGTGGTGTCTCTGCCCAGGTCTGGCCTGAGTGGTGTCCAGGAGCGGCAGCAGCGGTCATCAGCGAGTGTGGTGATGGCCCATGCTGAGGGGGCTGTTGGCTGGCCTCAGGTGGAGGAGGTGAGGGCCATGTGGACTGGGCTCCAGCTGATGCTCCGGGGGAGGGTGGCATCGGCAGTTGGGCTGGGCAGTGTCCCCAGAAGCTCTCCTCCCTGAAGGACCCCTTGCCTGTCACACCCCCTGCAGACCCTGGTGTTCCTGCAGCTCTGGGCCGGCCTGGATGTGCTGCTGGTGGCTTCCTGGCAGGAGCTGAGCAAGCACGTGTGTGCTGTCACCAGGGCCATCGCCCAGCGCCCCTTTAAGTATGTGCCCCCCAGAACAGGTCGGGCAGGGTGGTGAGAAGCTAGGTGAGGATGCTGGAAGATACCTGCTCCCCACATCTGCAGGTGGCTCCGGGACTCCCAGACCTTTTCCTTCTGCACAGCGGGGCGCTGGGCAGCCGGGGATCGGGTGGCCAGAGACGGCCGGGGGCTGCGGAGGATTTGGTGGCGGCAGATCCAACAGTTCAACCGAGTCAGCCCCCAGGTGGCCAATGCCGTCGTCACTGCTTTTCCCTCCCCCCGCCTTCTGCAGCAGGTGAGGTGCCCCCACTCTGACCCCTAAGAGTGAAGGCTGGAATGTGCGAGACTTCTCAGCTCACCCTTGTCCTCGTCCTCGTCCTAGGCGTACGAGGCCTGCGGCTCAGAGCAGGAGCGGCTAGGCCTCCTGGCTGACCTCCCTGTAGAAGGAGGCCAGAGTGGGCGGCCTCGACGGGTGGGGCCGGACCTATCGCGCCGCCTTTTTCTTTTCCTGACTTCCTGCCACCCAGATCTCATGCTGGACCTGAGCTCCTAAGCAGTGTGTGTGGTAAGAGGGAGCAAGGGCAGGGAAGACAAGCAACCTCAGCTTATGACACACAGCCTGACCTTGTGGAGCCGGCGGGGTTAGGGGGGGTGGTCAGGCCAGCTGGGGGCTTGGGAGGCAGCACTCCTCCCTGGCCCTGCCCAGGAGCCTCCTGGGGCTGTGGCACAGATCCCCCCGGAAACTGGGGTGCCTGGGCAAAACCAGACCCCACAGGACAAGGTCACCGACTTGCGTAAGCCCACAGCCTGATCCTGGATGACATCACAGCTGCTGTGGACGTCGGGTAGAAATTCCGTTTTGTTTATTGCAGTGATTTAAGTCTCAGAAGGGACAGCAGCCAGCGACATGCACAGCAGCAGAGGGCAGAGTCCCAGGCTCGGGAAACAGGGACGTCAGCACCAGACAGCCCTCCTCTTCCTCATACAGCTGACAGCGGCAGACCCTGAACTTGCCGGTCCTACGGCCAAGGGGCCCTGGAGCCCCACAGAAAGGGCCATCCCAGCCTTGGGGTGCTCGGCCCCACTCCTCCCTCCTGTCGCCCTGGAGCGTGGCCGGAAGGAAGGGACAGGAGCCAGCTTCCTGGCTGAGAGGCAGTTTTCACTGACGAGGAGTCAGGTCCGGCGGCAGCGCTTCCGGCGGCAGGAGCGGGCCTCAGGTGTGGGTGGCCGGCGGCGGCCGCAGCTCATGTTCAGCACCCAGCCGAGTTTGGTGTGCAGCACCTGCTTGAGGCCAGGCGGCAGGGGCAGGCCCTCGAGTGTGTCCCCGGAGTCGGGGCGCAGCTGACGCAGACGGTAACAGCACAGGAACTGTAGCGAGGTGGCACTGACGCAGGATCGGATCACCTTCATGCTGCTCTTGGCGGCCGTGGAACACACCATCGGGTAGAACTTCCTGTTCTGAAGTCTGGTGGCTGCCACACCTGTGAGGAGGCTGCCTGAGCCTGTGCACGTGGGCAGCATGCCTGGGCCTTCCCTGCCCCCAGTCTGTCCCACCTGCTCGAAGGACCCCAGAACCCTCACCTATACACTTGCGGTTCTTGAAGAAGGTCAACCTTCCGTGCCAGGTGTCCAGGTGCACGCCAATGATGGAGCCCTGGCCGAAGCGTGAGGAGAAGCTCGTCTTGTCCCCCCGGTGGTGGAGAAGCCCTGGGGGGTGGCCGGGGATGAGTTGGGGAGCAGGCACCCCTCAGCTTCACAGCCCATCTGCCCCCGCACCTGCTGCCTCATGTACCTGTGTAGGAGAGACCCCAGCTCTCCTCGTCCCTGCCCAGCAAGCTGCAGAAGGTGTGGTGGTACTTGTCCAATTCCACGTCTGACGTCCCGATGCCCACCATCTGGAAAGAGGCCGGCAGAGGGGCGTGTGGGCTGGATGCATGGGCCTGGGGCTGCCTTGTAGGCCACCCTGCAAACGCCCACCGCTCACTCACCATGTCGGTGCCGTAGACGGGGGAGGTCATCTTGATCTCCCAGAAGTGCTGACCCTCGCCCAGCTCCTTGGTGCCCCGGATGGCCGCGGTGCCACAGCTGTACTCCACGTGGAAGCTGACCTTGCGGTTGTCACAGCTCAGGAGGGTGGCTGAGGACTTGTTCAGGTCATCCCAGACCCAGTCGAAGTCTGTGGAGGCGAGGGGGGTGGCTGAGACAGGCTCCCCAACTCCCGGGGTCTGGCCACAACCCCCCCGCAAGCCTCTGCCTTGCTCACGCTCGTCCTCCTCCCCGCAGCGGCAGTCCTTGTCGCGATGGGCGCTGTGCCGGTTGCCGCAGAAGGCGGCGTCACGCTGACTGTCACAGTCACAGAAGGACTCCCCAGTCACAGGCACGGCGCTGGGAACGGATGGTGGCAGGGACGAGAACTCGGGGTCTGAGTCGGAGTCACTGTGCTGGGAGAGAAGGCAGGCTCTTTTTACCCAGGCCCCTCTCAGCCACAGCGCCTCCTGCTTGGTTGTCTGTCTGCCTATGGCCTCCACAACCTGCAGTCAGCAGAGCTTAGAAAATACCTCATCCTATTGTTCCACTGTGCCCTGTTAAAGGCTGCATCCCCACTCCTCACATGCAGCATGTGGCCACTCACAGCAGTGAAACCACAGACCATAGGAACTGAGAAGACAGATGGGCATGAATGCTGTCTCAGCCCATGACAGACAGACGACCACAAAGAAAACCAGGAGACAGGGCATGAGGGCAAGGAGAGAGTATATGGGAAGATGAAATCTAGACAGAGATGCCACTGAGCCGTCACCATGGCCAAGCTGGTGGTCCACTTTAAGAGCTGGCTTCAGAAAAGGATGAGGTCTCATGGAGTCGGGCTGCCCCAACAAACAAGGTAAGCCTAGGGGCCTGCAAATGTACTGTGGAGAACGAGCCCAAGTCAGGGCCATCGCCAACCACCCCGCCTCTGTGAGCCAGGGAGGTCATCCTAGACAACACACCCACAGGCACGTGAGGCCCATTAGGTGACGGGACAGGGGACATGTGTCATATCCTGCATCCCACAGTGGTGAGTCTGCTCTAGGGGCAGGGCAGGAACGCAGCCCCAGGGCTCAGCAGCCTAGGAAGAGGGATGAGCCTGCCCTCCTAGCTCAGGATACCTTGGGGAGCAGCTGTGTAAGGCAGAAGCCCAAATCACCTAGGGGTGGGCCTGCAGGTAGGTGGGTGAGTAGATCTTGATGTCTGCTGAGACTGAGTGAGCCACAGCCTCACTGAACACAAACCAGATGTCCTGTCATGCCATCCTATGCTGGCCGGAATCAAACAAACTAAGAGACAGACATCTCTCCAACCACCTTCTTGAAATGAGGGGTTCACGGGGCAGGAAACCCTGGTCATCAAGAACAAAATTTTTCACACACACACACACACACACACACAGAATCTTGTCTACTTCTACAGGCCAATAAAACTTGTCCACGAAGACGTGCACCACATTCACAATGGCAAACTGGATGAAAAAAATTGGGTCACGCCTGCTTCAGGGTCTCTGCACCTCAGTCCCATGGTACCCACTTCCCCAGAGGGACCTACCTGGCCATCAGAGTCATAACCCCAGTTAGCAGTGCCTGCCAGAGCCACAGCCCGGGCTTCAGCATCTCGATGGGCTGCACTCAGGACGAAATGCCACGCCCGGCTGCTCCGGGGCCTCCTGGCCATGGTGGAGAGAAGCTAGAAGGAAACAGGACTCCTGATACTGGTCTGGTTCCCAGTGCTCTACCCTGCACTGTCCCTCTGGGCTGTGCCCACAAACCCACCCCAGGCGCCAGACAAGCGCATACCTTACTCCAATAGCTAAGCACGTCAATAAAACTCAGGCAGATGGTGTGCAAGGCTACCCTCAGATCCACCACACTCCACAGCACATCAGGGCGCATCTCCCGCCAAGCTCAGCCTCACCTAGTCCGTCTCTCAGCTCAGCCCTAGGGCATCACCAGCCTTGACTGGCTGCCTCTCCCTCTAGTTAAGTGTCCAGCTTGACAGATGGAATCTCCAGTTACTTAGTTCCTCATACCAGACGCCTAGGAGTCATCTCCGCCATCTCCCCTAATGCCCCGCAATTACACCGCCTCCCGGTCTCACCCTCCTCCCAGCTCTTTATTACCGCCTCTAGGCGGGCTCTTTTGAGACAAATCTCATTTCTTCAGACCTGGCCATTGTCGTGAGAATAAAATGCAAACAATTCTAACCAGCCTGCCGAGTTCTCTGATTCTCCAACCCGTTTTCAGGCCTTGGCTTAGTCACCAGCTCCGTCTGCTCTGCCCTCGGGCCCATTCCACCACATGTGGTCCTCTGGGATGGCCCGAACGGCACCCAGCTGAATGACTGAGCCCCGCGGTCTCCTCCCTCGGGAGAGATCACGGTCAGCACCCCATTATTAGCCTAATCACGATTCACGACATTGTAGCACACTGGGCACTACGTGACCCGGGCTGAATGAATGACCCACCGCTAAGCCCCGGGGAGGGTCGCTCAACAGGGAGGGTCGGCATGTTCCCACTCTCGCGGGCTCGTTCGGATGTCAACTTGGGGGTGCCGCTTCTGGAAGCCGACCCCACAATCGCGGCGGCGGAGGCACCCCCATCCGGAGGTAGTCCATCGGCCGAGGGGTTTCGGGAGCGCGTCACGCCCGTCCACCGCGGACAAAGCGCGGACGGGGCGGTAGCAGAGGCCGCGCCCGGGCCGCTGGGGAACAAAGGATGGGCTCGCCCGCAAGGTCAACGGCGCGCCCGCTCGAGCCCGCAGCGCCGGTACAGGCCAGGCCGTGCCGCCACGCTCACCTGGAGCTGCTCAGCCGCTGCCTCCGCCGCCACACTCCCCGCCGGCCGTGACCTACTTTCCGCTCCAAGCGAGACGTAAACAATCCCCGCCCCGCGCCGCATTGGCCAGCCGCCGGAAGCCAGCCGCCTGCCTACAGGCTGCGGGGTCCGTCAGTTCCGAGCCGGTGTTTCCATTGGCCACACCTGAATCCAGTTGAGAAAAGGCCCGCACGCCCATTGGACGCGGATCGCAGGCGGATGGCGGCCCCAATTTAGGGCGTGGACAAGGAAATGGGCTCATCTACTTACGTCACCCGGCGCCGGAAGCCACAGGCACGGTTAAGGCGGTCCGATTGGCTAAAGAAAGCCGGATTAGACCTATGAAAGGAAGTCAGGGGGCGGGCTCTCACGGTCCACTGGCCTAAGGGCTCGTCCCTCCCCTGTGGACAGAAGCCTCGAGGTTCCGGCGGCTGTGGAATGGAGGCGGCGGCTGGTGAGTGTTGGGGCGCCGGGAGCGCACTAGGAGAGAGCGGGCCTGGCTTCGGCTTTGCTTTTGGCGGGTCCCATAGCAGGGGGTGGGAGACCGGAGCTGCCGCGGAGCAGTGGCGAGGCGCCCCCAATAAGAGGGGCACATGAGGGACCGGTATGCACCTCTGTAGTCACATAAAGCTTAAAAAACGAGAGCCCCACAGCCGTCCGTCTGAATGAATGAGGCTTTTTATTTTGGGGGTAAATGCTCTTAATAAACAACTCAAAGCCTTGGAATTCAGGTCTCCAGTAAAAGCGGCCGACCGGCCCGTACCCAAAGGCACTGCCGGCGTGCGCTGTCGGGCTCTGCGGGAGGCTCCTTCCCAAATCAGTGCGCACACCTGCCAGGCGTGTAGAGTGGACTTGAGGAAGCTGACCAGGGCGTGGCGTGTCTCGGGGGCCCTGCCCCTCCTGCGCCCCCGCCCACTTCCAGCAGAGCCCCCGCGCGTGGCGTGGGTGGGCACCGTGCGGGGCTTTTGTGGCCCGTTTCTGAGTAGAAGGGAGTCGTAGTTGTGTTTTGAGACTGAGAAACAGCCGCTCCCGCAGTAACTGACCCCGCACAGGTAGGTGCCTGCTCCCATCACCGCCCTCCCAGGTGGGCCGCATCTCCCCGTTAGCACAGCTGGTGGAGCCGGTGCCAGGAGACACAGGTGGTCGCTGGTCTAGCCGCATTCCAGCGGGCTCTCGCCTGCCCCCAGCAACCTGCAGCCCCGCACCGCACCGTGTTCTCCCACACGCCTGTGAAGGGCCCGATCATCCTTGAGGTTTGTCAGCAAGGCCTGGCCCCTGACTATTTCTGGGAGGAGCGGAAACCTGGAGGAGGTCAAGTCGGAAACGCATTACTGGTCTCACTCATGATTCTTTGGCTGGTGTTTTGGATTCAGTGGACAGAAGAGAAGCGAGGTCGATTGCGGACGACCTAGGAGAGAGCTGTAGGGGTGGGGGGTTCTGTGTGGAGCCTGGTTAAGGACTCTTGTACAGTCTGCAGTTTTGCCCTTACTTGGGTCTGATCTGGCCTGGGGACTAGGGTAGGGTGTCCACATGAGTGTGGACTTGGTCAGCTGGACGTGTGGCCAGTGCACACAAGACACTGGCCTGTCTTTGTCCTTGAGCTCAGGTGCCGGCCTACCCCCAACCTTTCCCCATCTTGGAGTGCCTCTCTGCACTGACCCAGATCCTAGAAACTGGGGGAGATGGAGCACCTCAGGTCCAGATTCACTTATATCTGGGCTTCCAGGCACAGGTGCACCTCAGGGCTACAAAGTCCGTGACTTGGTCGGTGGCTTTGTCTGTCTCTGTCTCTTTAATAGAATTAGGGGGAACTGGCCACTCAGGCTGGTCTTGTTCCTAAGTATGTGTCCACTCACACCCTCTCACTAGGCACTGGTGAACACATTCAAACATGTTTGTCTACACGCACACATCACGTGGCTCACACATAGATACACAACCAGATGCTCTTTTATCTTAGAGGCTGCCTGCCTTTTAGCAGCCCGACGCTGAGGCTTTCACGGGCCAGTGGGCTGCGTGGGGACCTCCTGCTGCTGGCCTCGTCTGCTCAGTGGGGGTTGTGGGTTCTCGGGGGACAGTGAGAAGGCACCCTGATGTTCTGATCTTGTCTCCTGTTCTGATAAGAGCCGGGGAACCTGGCTGGCGTCCGGCACATCGTGCTTGTACTGTCAGGGAAGGGAGGCGTTGGAAAGAGCACCGTCTCCACTGAGCTGGCCCTGGCCCTACGCCACACAGGCCAGAAGGTAAAGCCCAGGCCCCTGTGCCCTGCCCCCAGGCCCCCCACTCTGCCCCCAGTGTGGTGTTCACTGGGGGTCGCCGTCTGCTCACTGCAGGTGGGCATCCTTGATGTAGACCTGTGTGGGCCCAGCGTGCCGCGCATGCTTGGGATGCAGGGCTGTGCAGTTCACCAGTGTGACAGCGGCTGGGTGCCCGTGTTTGTGGATCAGGAGCAGACTCTGGCTCTCATGTCTGTGGGCTTCCTGCTAGAGACGCCTGACGAAGCTGTGGTGTGGAGGGGCCCCAAGAAAAACGGTAACAGAGCTCAGGTCCTCGGGTCAGTGGGAGGCGGCCACCACTCATGCCTCTTCCCCATCCTCACTAAACTGCCTGTGCTCTGGGGGCGGGGGGCAGTGAGCTTTGGTGTCTCTGGACCTTTGGACTGTAGCAAGCCTTACCCGTCCCATCAGGTCAGCATAGACAGATGCCTGCTGATACCAGACTTCTGCCCCTCCACCCCCTATAGCCAAGATGCTCCATGCGGGGCCTGCTCCCAGGCTAAGACCTTGTGGGGATGCAGGGAGGCTGGTGTGCTCCTCTGGGGCCTGGGGAGCGAACTCTCCAGACGAGTACCTGGGCTTTTGGTGTCTCTGCAGCACTGATCAAGCAGTTCGTGTCTGATGTGGCCTGGGGGGAGCTGGACTTCCTGGTGGTGGACACGCCCCCGGGCACCTCTGATGAGCATCTCTCCACAGTAGAGGCTCTGCGCCCTTACGGCCCCCTGGGTGCTGTCCTGGTAACTACGCCCCAGGTGAGGCCCCACCCCAGGCTAGTGAGCTTGAGATCCAGAGGGGCAGGCAGGGCTGGGCTGTCCCCCTTCCCAGTGCAGCGCTGTCCTGCTCCCAGGCCGTGTCAGTGGGGGACGTGCGGCGGGAGCTGACCTTCTGCAGGAAGACGGGGCTGCAAGTGATCGGTGTGGTAGAGAACATGAGCGGCTTTGTGTGCCCGCACTGTGAGGTGAGGCACACAGTGGGGTGGGGTGCGGTGGGGTGGACTAGACTGTGGAGGGGGGACTGCTCACTGCCCGTCCATCCCTGTGACACAGGAGTGCACCAATATCTTCTCCACGGGAGGCGGGGAGGAGCTGGCCAGGCACGCTGGGGTCCCCTTCCTAGGTGAGTGCTCTGGGTGCTAGAATGGGTCTCTAGGGGCAGGTGGCCAGTGGTCATGAACCGAGTAGCGCTGGACCAGCTGTAGCAGGAGCTTCATATGGGCGGTGCCTTCCCTGCCCTTCTCCTACCTCCTTATCCCTGCAGGCTCTGTGCCCCTGGACCCTCAGCTGGCAAGGAGCCTGGAGGGGGGCAGGGACTTCATGCAGGAGTTCCCCAAAAGCCCGGCCTTCCCTGCGCTCACCTCCATCGCCCACCAGATCCTGGACCAGGCACGGTCTCGTGACCCTACGGAAGCTGGTCGGCCAGCAAGTCAAGTGTGATCCACCCACCCCCTGGACTGTGCTCCAGTGGGACTTATGGGGAGGGCCGTGGTTCTTCTTGTACCTCTGTTGTCCTTACTTACCTAATCCCACTTGAGGGCCTGTGTTCTATGTGTTGTGAGGGGAGGCCTCCCAGACCTGTGAGAAGCACCCATTAAATGTGTCTGGGTGTGACGTCTTGACCCTTCTACCCCATCCCCAGCTGTGTCTGTGTCTGCCTCAGTGGCTCCCTGGGTCCTGTGACAAGGTGCTGTCAGAAATGTGTGGGGTCACTACTGGGCCTTGAGCCCTCTTCTCTCGAGGAAGTGTGCCGGGCTAGCCCCAGGGGCCCACTCGGTGACCCCCAGCCTCTTTTAATGAGGGTTGGACACAGGAGAGAGGAGAGGCCTGGGGGAGGGCCTCTTCCCAGGAGGCGGGCACTGCCTGCTCTCGGGTCGCACAGTGTGTGTGTCAGATTGCTTTAATTGATGGTCACCCTGATCTGTACCCACGTGGCCTCAGAGGATGGCCTGGTGAAGTCCACAGGCCCGTCTGCTTCCAGGAAGGTATACCTGTGCTGGCATCCTGGGCACCACCAGCCCCACGGGGGTCAGCAGTGAGCAAAATGGGCCTCGCCCAGGTCCCGCAGGTCAAGACCGGCCACAGGGGGTGGCTCGGCGCAGGTGATGTTGTTGTAGGTGTACACAGGCAGGGGGCGCTCGTCACCCTCGAGGGCGGCCTGCACGGCGCGCGGCACTATGCGCGGGTTCTGCAGAGCGAAGGCCCACAGCGCCCGCAGTGCGCAGCCGCAATCCCAGGGATTACCCTCGAGCCACAGACGCTCTAGGCCCAGAGGCTGCGCTGCAAAGATGCGCAGTGAGTTATTGGACAGGCTGAGGTGGCGCAGCTGCTTTAGCGGCGCCAGGACTCCCTCGGCCAAGCTCTCCAGGCGGTTGTGCGCCAGGTCCAGCCAGAAGGCGCGCTGCAGGGGCCGGAGCGTGTCCGGAGCAAGCTCAGCCAGCTGGTTGCGTGCCAGCAGCAAGTACTCCAGTTTGGCAAGGCCGAGGAAGAGCTGGTGGGGCAGGTGGGCCAGGCGGTTGGCCGTGAGGTCCAGCTCCAGCAGCTCCGGAAGGCCCTGTAGGCTGTGCTCTTCCAGGTCTGTGATGGCATTGTCTCGGAGGAAGAGGCGGCGCAGGCCTGCCAGGCCCGAGAAGGTGTGTGCCCGCACTCGGCCCAGGCAGCTACTTTCCAGGTGCAAGCTGTGCAGGCGGCCCAGGCCCTGGAAGACGAGCTCGGGCAGGTTCTGTAAACAGTTCCCCGAGAGGTTCATCACGGCCACATTGGCCAGACCAAGGAAGGCGCCGGGCCGCAGCTCCTGCAGCTGGTTGTGGTCCAGCGTCAGCACCTCCAGCTGGCCCAGGCCCTGGAAGGTGCGCTCCGCCAGCTGTCGGATGCGGTTGTGGCTGAGCCGCAGCTCCTCCAGGAAGTGCAGGTCCTTGAAGGTGCGTGGGCGCAGCCCGGTCAGCGCGTTGTGCGAGAGGCGGAGCACGCGCAGCCCCAGAAGGCCCGGGAAGGTCTCCGCGAAGAGACTGGCCACGCGGTTGTGCGACAGGTCAAGCCAGCGCAGGGCACGCAGGCCCAGGAAGGCGCCAGGTGCCACGCTGGCTACGAGATTGTGGTGCAGGTAGAGCTTCTGGAGCTTGGGCAGCTTGACCAGGACGCCGGCCTTGATGCTGCGCAGCGAGTTGCGGCTCACGTCCAGCTCCAGTAGCTCATCCAGTCCACAGAAGAGCGGCGGCTGCAGGTAGCTGAGACGGTTGCCAGCCAGCACCAGCTCGCGTAAGCCTGCCAGGCCACGGAAGGCGGCGTCGGGCAGCACGGCCAGGCTGTTCCAGCCCAGGTTGAGGGCCCAGAGGTGCGGCAGGCCAGCGAAGAGCCCGTCCTCCAGTCTGCTGAGTAGGTTGTGATGCAGACTGAGGGAGGCCAGGCCTGGCGTGTGTGTGAAGGTGCCGGCCGCCAGGCTGCGTAGCTGGTTCTGTTCCAGGTGCAGGTGGTAGAGCAAGCCCAGGCCCAACAGTGCACCTGGCTCCAGGCTGCCCAGCCCACTGCCCTGCAGGTTGAGGAAGTCCAGGCCCGAGAGGTTCCGGAAGGCGGCCTCGGGGATGCAGCTGAGATTGTTGCGGTCCAGCCACAGGGCCCTGGTGGCCTCAGGGAAACTGGCGGGTAGCTGTGTGAGGTTCCGGGCGCTACAGAAGACACTCAGCTCATCCGTGTAGTCGTCGTAACTGCAGACGCACACGGCCGGGCACCCCAGGCTCTCGGTGTCGTTCCCAGGCGGCGAAGACTCCACGTCTTCCAGGTTGCCATGGCCGGTCACCACCCAGCACGCCACCATCAGCACCAGAGCTAGGCCTCCTGTGGTGAGGGCAGAGCTTCGGACCGTGGCCCTCCCCAAGACCCAGCCCCAGCCTGGCTACCTCCAAGGACCCAAGTACCTGTAGGAGACAGTCAGGGGCCAACAGAGCACGTCCCTGTTCTCCCTCTCCACCGGGGCTGCCACACCTGGTGGATGGGCAGGTGCTGACCGCGCACATGGTACACCTGGTGGACAGCATATCAGCAGGCTCCTCGTGTCATGTGCCCTGGGTACACCCAACAGCAGGCCCGACTTGGCTGGCTCTGCCCTGAGGCCTAAGTGGACAGCCTGGGTCCTGGTGGGGACGTAGGCCATGTGGCCGTGTGCGTCCCCTGGTGGACTCTGTGGCCAAGCTAGGCTGCCACATAGGCTTGTGTCTGTTGCTGGGATATTTTGGAGTTGGCCAGAGTGAGGTATTATTCATTTCCTTCAGGGCCCGGACGCTGAGCTGTGTCCCCATGCTGGGTTGGGCCCTATGTGGACGGTCACTCACTCGGTGGGCTTATGTCCCATTGAGTGCAGCCCAAACCAGAGACATGTTCGTGTGTGGAGTCGAGGTGAGCATGGGCGAGCAGCCTTCCAGCCCGTGCTGTCACTTTGTCCCTTCTGCACCGAGGCAGACGGCGGCCAACCTGTGAGGCTGCCATGTGGCCTCTAAGCAGCCGCGAGGACCATGGACCACCTGCTACTTGCCTGGCTCAGCCCAATGAAGGGTTGTAGGCTAGGCCCCAGTTGTCCTGCCCCTGTGGAGAGCCAGGCACTGCCTTATCTGGCCTGGTGGCACTCCTGAGCCCTTGGGGTGGGAGGGAAGGAAAAAACACTGGCCATCAAGTAGATTCTGGCTCACAGCGCCCTCGTGTGGTCAGAGTAGAACTGGGCGCCACAGGGGTCTCACACATAGACTGCCAGTATTTTCTTCTGAGGTTCCTCGAGGTGGACTCACAGGCAGCTCCAACCTTTTGGTTAGTGGCTGACCATGCTAACTGTGTGACCTTTCCCCTGGGGGCTCATGGAGCCCCTGTCCAGGTGCAGCTGCCCCCCAGCATGTTCCTGCCTGGACCTCCCAGGCTGCCCCGGCCCTGACCCTCCTTCTGGTTCTGGTTACGGGCCTGCCGCCCAGCTAGAGAGCTGCAGCCTCACCTTTGCTCAGGGCCATCGTAGTGTGGTCAGCAGCTGGTGGGTAGTGCGTCTGGTAGGGTCAGCGGCGCCTGCTCTCTGAATGTGCACACCCCAGCCAGCGCCCTGACAGCCAGCCAGTCGGCCAGCTCCCGGCCGGCCCCTTAACCCCCTCGTGCCGGGCAGCCAGCCGAGGTCAGGCCTGGGTGTGGGCAGCTCCGGAGCAGCTGGAGGCTGAGAGTATCTAAACCACTGATCCCAGAGGCCATCGTCGGTCTGACCGTGGTTCTCAGAGCCCATTGCCTCTGACTTCTATAGTGCTGGGCTGAGGAGAGGTGAGGTGTGGCATGGGGGTGCCCTTGGAGCACTTTTGCGGTTGGCATGGGGTCTAGGAGAGGAGACCCCATGTTGGGTAGGCCCGTGTCGTGGTCACCCCTATACTGTGAAGTCAGTCTACACAGTCACCTGTGTGCCCCTTGGCCTATAGTTTTCTATCATCCACTTGGCCCCCACCCCCAACCTATCCCAGGCAACTGTCCACAGCCTGGTCCCAGCCATGGCCCAGCCCTGGCCTCCCTCGTGACCTCGGGGTCAGCCGCTGTCTGGCCAGGCTGTCCCCCACGCCTCTTCTAGGAACACTGAGCATCTGTTTGCTCTCTGGGGCCTCAGCTCTGAGCAGGATCCCGGGGCCCAGTGACCCTCAGTCCACCACCCAGACCACTTGCCTGGTAACTGCCTGGTCCGAGGTCAGGCGGGAAGGTAGCCTGTGATGGAGACTGCCTGCCATGCACCTCCCCCTCCTCCAACCACCTTGACACCTCCTGGTCCCACCCCCCATGGTCAGCTGAACTTTGGTGGGGATGAGGGGGAGGCAGCGTGCGGCAGTGGGCGGTACTAGAAGGAACCAGAATGTAGAACTGGGTCTGGGGAGGTGGAGGGAGGCGGCCAATCTGGCCCTCAGGAGGGGAGTGGACGGGTGCCACTCTTAGGGTCAGGGGATGCTGGGGGCTGACCTGAGCCCTATCCCAGCAGCACTGGGTGGGCAGGTCTGTCTCCCCCCCTTTTATGGAGATTTGACTTTTCCAGCTCGTTCCTCAGGGTCTCTTCTGAGAAATTATAGATCCGAAGGGAGAAAGTCCAGCCCAGGAAGCCCAAGGTGAGTTTACCCAGAGAAAGTGCAAACTCAGCAGGGGCTGGGCCAGCAGGGGCCGGGCAGGGGTGCAGTATGCTTGCTAGGCTGGGTCCACTGTTGGGGTGGCATCCTTGGGTTGAGGGGGTGAAGGGCAGGAGGCAGGCAGCCCCCAGGACCTGGATTTAGGATCTGAGTTCAGATTTCTAAGTTCCGAGAGAATGTTGGGGCGACCCCATACAGCTCCTTTAGGACAGTCCCCCCACCTGAGCTGAGGTCCCCGGGGCTTTGCGGGCAGGCCACTGTGTGTCCATCCTGGGGCCCCTTCTCATGCTGCTGGCTGGGACGGTGCTAGCCTGCGGACTGAACCAGCGGATCGGGTCTGCACCTGTCTTCTCAGATGCCCCCTCCGCACTTTGAAAAGTGCAGAGGCAGGTCTCCCCCGTCTTTCTGTTGTGTCTCTGAGATGATCATACTCAGTCAGTTGTGGTGGTGAGGGAAAGTGTCCATTCCACAGTTGATGGGTTTTATGTTCTGATGGGCAGCGAACCCCACAAAGTGGAGGCATTCCTCCCTGAGTTTCCTTCGATCTCTAGGATTTTGACAAGAACATGTTCTGGATGCAGTCCTCTGTGGGAGAGCGATCGTAACTCTCAGCGTGGCCTCATAAGCTACCCTGCACATAGGGGTTAAAATGAACTGCACATAGGAAGTGGTCTTTTTCCTGGGTCCTGTGGGGACCACTAAAACTTTGGAATTTTCCCCACTGAGGGGACACATCTGGGCATCTGTGCTCACAAGGTAACATCGACATGAGGGCTGGTTGTGGCCTAAGACCCGTCCCATGGTACCAGTTTGCCCAGTTAGGCCCCAGGAATGTGCTGAGTGAGGAAACTCCTCGAGCCTCCCATTGGTGGTGGGCATCCATGTACAGGTGCCATGTTAGGGAGCCGGTGTGTGTCAGAGTAGGACTGTGCCCCACAGGGT